CTTGTTTTTTCTTTTTGTTTTTATTTTTATTTTTATTTTTGCATGTTATCACTGTGCCCGTTTTTTGCTTTTATTCTTTGTTCCGCAAAGTGCGCTCTTTTAGTTTGTAGTGATGTGACAATATATATATGTGTGTTCGCAGGTTTGAGGGCCCAAAAGTGCTGTTAACCCAGGGAAAACTTGGCATTGTAAATCACTTGACTCCTCTCCCCTGTACTTCCTTAAACACACACACTACCTCTGCGAACCTCTCCACTTTGAAGGTCCTCGCCCCTAGGCTGAGGGTGCTGTCTGCCTACGAAGGGTAAGCATCTCGGAGACACCTTGGTAACCACAAGCACTACCGAGCTATTCCCTGTTGTCGCAAGGGGTTCTCTCCCCCAACACAGGCCAGTAGATCTATACTGGTCATTGGCCGTCTTAGTTTTTTTTTTAATTTATTGTTTTATAATTACGCTATATTCTTCTCTCAAATCTTTCATCGCCTTTCAAATTCTTTCAATTCACCTTCACTACCTACCTACCACTACTCCTAAGGCCGTTCTATTTTTATCCACCTTAGATTATTTGTGACTGGTATATCCTGTTTCAGCAATGCATCCATTTTGAAGTCCATGTGTCACGCAGCGTATAAGCCGCAACTTGAAGGACTTGTGTCTTGCTAGATCTTACTGTCCTTCAAGTACTCCATTGACCTTGGTTCTCACAGACCAGCAGGGAGAATGCTTGACAAACCCTCTTAGAGTCCAAGGAGGAGGTGTGGACAGCCCTCATGCTCATGGAGGACGAGAAGACCCCGGGCATCAATGATCTACCCAAAGAATTTTGGGAGGCCCTGTGGGATAGCTCACAGGACCTGATGACTACTACCATATGGCCTGGGTATCGGGGCAAATGAGGAAGTTTGTGGGGCAGAGGGTGCTAACCCTCCGCTACAAAAAAGGCGCGAAAACTAACATTCGCAACTACCGGCCCATCACACCCTTAACTATAGCCCATAAAATGGTGACTCACACAGGATTTATCAAGTGAAGGAACATCCAAGATAACAGTCTGCTGATCAGCGAACTGATCAAGCTCGCCTGTGAATCCAAACATAATGCAACATCTATCTTCATTGATTTCAAGAAAGCGTATGACCATATGGATTGACTCTTCCTAGATAAGAGAAACTCAACTTCAAACCATGTTTCGACAGATGGTTCAAAATCCTCCGTGCCAATGCCACAACGTATTGTAATGGTAAATGAAAACTTGGTGCCGCCCCCATATCCCTCCAATCCCAGTGAGGCAAGGGGACCCCATTGCCTCCTTCCTTTTGTCATAATCATGGAAGTTCTGGTAGGTAACCTTTTTTTATTTAAAGACCGTAGATTACTAAGCCCACTACTGTGGATTCATAAGAGGAACCTCTCCTAGTAAATCCATCTAGGTCACTCCAACCATTGGTGGGGAGCTGCACCTAATGGAAACCGGCTCCAGCATCCCATGATTACGTGAAGAACATCACAAAGTGTTGAATAGCCTTAGAACCTATCAGGACATTAAACAAATCCAGGTCTCCTCCATCTCGGAAGATGCAATGGGGCATCGCTTGGACACACTGGGCCGACAAGAAGCGTCTTCAGAGACCCGCTCCGCAATTACAGTGTTACAAGTTACTTGGGCCAATGGTTGTAGATGCTCTATCAAGAAGGGCATATTATCCCAAGAGCTGGAGAGCATAATAGGATAGGCCTCACAAAACGGGGCCCAATAACAGCAGGGCCAAAGGACTTTGTGCTGCCACACCTGCTCCTGCCTCTACTACATATTCAAGCCATCCCTTCCACATCATCTGCCGTCCTGCCACAAGAGCGCCCCCCGAGCCCCCCACGGAAGAAGTCCAGGTGAACCAACTCACGGACAATCTCGAACAGGAATCAGACTCAAAGACTAATCAGGATTCGGAACCTGAGTTCGAATGGGACTTCGTAAATAGGATGTCGAAGCACGAATGGCCCTCACTCACAGCACAAAGGTTGCGGTAATTGAGCCAGCACAAGGAACAAATAACATTGTTTCCTTTGGTGGCACAAAGTCCTTGGCTCTCACCTGACCTCAGGACAAGGGATCTGGACACTAAAACAGTAGATGGCACGACCCGAAAAGCACTACAGGTCAGGGAGTGGTGATTCTGCTCGTTAGAGGAGCCACTGACGGTGGGAATTGGCTGTAGGACCCTTTTCGAAAAGCACTACAGGTCCTCTGAGTACTCAAGCTAGCCACTAAGACAGTAATGGGTGTCAAGGGGACAACTTCGTCATTAGACCGCTCCGAGGTAGCATACACAAGGTGATACTAGTGACGTTGGCATTGACGATGCAAATTGACGTTGTCTGCCACGAACGCGAGCATTGATGAGGTGGCATTTATGAAACGACATTACAAGGCGACATTGACGAAGTGGTATTGACAAAGTGGTATTGACAAAGTGGCATTTACGGCGCAACATTGGCGGCATTAACGATGCGGCATTAATGAGGCAGCATTGTCGAGAGCTGCCACGTCAGCTTGGCTGAGCACAGGTTCTGCCACATCAGAGTGGATGAGCGTGGTGCTTGCTGACACTCTGGCGCCCCTGATGAGTAAGCCGAGGGGAGAAAGCTGAGGATAGAGGGGAGGTTCCCTTATGCCTCCCTAGCCATTACGACGTCCGTGGTTGGGTGGAACCACTACAATAAACAAATGTTGTGGTATTCTATCACGACTCACGTTTGAGCACCGCTACTGCCCTGGTACCCTACAGGGGCCAGCCAGCATGGGCCACTTTGCTCCCCAGGTGACACGTTGGGACATGGTGTCCGACGAGGCCTTCTTACTGAACCGTTTGCTTGCCATGTGGCAAGCAACGAGGCGTCTATAGAGAGGTGTTTGTTCAGCTGGAAGGAGTGTTGCGAAGCTAGGAGAAGGTATGTATGACGTGGAGTGGATCAATTGAGGATTAGAGGAAGAGTGGTCAAGAGAGAAAGAAGATGGAATATGGACTCTCGCAGGACGAAGGGCTGCAAGATATCCCTCCTGTCTGGCAGTCGTACGTTGTGCAAGGAATCATAAGAATGGAGGCTGTTCCCGCTGTAGTGAGGATGAAACTCTGTGAGAGCCAGATGAAGGATTTGCTGGTGACGATCAACTGCTTACCTGGATGCCCGCCGCTAGAATTCCTGCTGAGCGAGGACTTCGTTGAGGGATGGGCAGAGGAGCTGTTTACAAGTTGAACTTGTTTTTCACAATCTTCAGATCAACAACAACAACACAACTTCGAAGCGGAAGAGGTGGCAGCAGATTTGCAGGAGTGCGTGCTAATGCTGGACAAACTGCGCACCACTTTTTCCAAGTGGTGGAGAGATGTTGACGGCCATACGACAACGGATTATTGGTAAACGCAACAAGATGGTGAACTAAATGAGGAGCAGATGAGAGATGAGGACAATGGTTCATTTTTGGCTCACCAGGAGATCGACAGTGATCACGACAAGTGCCAACAGCAACAACAAGACAAAGAACGAAATGTTGACAGCGGGAGTGATAAGGAGCATAACAGGGAAGATTTGGACAATCTACAAGGGGTAGAACGAGGGAATCGGACCCAGCAACAAATGGAGGGAGAACAGGATTATAAGTGAAGCGCTCTCCAGGAGAGTACTTGCCTCCCGGCCCCCATCAGTCTAGGACTCGACGTTGCAGAGCCAACCCAAGCACACACTCAACAACAGAACGACAGTGAGAAGGGACAGCAGGTCGACCAAGATTATGCTTATCAGCGGAGAGATGGTGGTGAATGTGGGGTGCAGAATAAGATAGCTAGTAAGGCAGCGCTCCCCCTCTCACAGCACGGGACCGGTACAAACACATTATTTGGCACAACCCAACAATGGGGCAGCTCGCCAATGCTATCACATGTGAACTAGGGAGGGATGCATGATTTTGGACATCATGCGGGGGGTAAACAGGGAATGCTAGGACGCCGGAAGAGGCGGGGGTGGRAGAAGAAGAGAAGGGACTGGCGCATTCCTTGGGAGAGGCAGTCATGCAGATAGGTGGCCACATTGCCACATCAGCAAGCCTCATTGCCACATCACACCGAATCAGGGATGGCTTCATCTCCACGTCAGTATTGTTTCGCAATGACCCCGGTCTGTGACTTGATAGCCTCATTGCCGCGTGGAATGCTTCAGGGACACTGCTCTGCTGGATATAAAATTCATTCGGCTTCATCTTGGTGTGGCAAGGTTACCGACTCTTACACTGTCAGCAGGGCAGTCAATCCCCTCGAACGAGGGCAATCAATGCTGCCATGTATTGTCAATTTGTCAAAGGAATACAGGCGTGATAGGCGACAGAGTAGAAATGTTGAGTTATAGATGTGAGTAGGGCAGGGGGATAATTGTGGTAAGAAGAGCCGTGATCGTCATGTGGAAGGTGGAAATCATGTGTGGAGGGGACATGATTGATACCTGACCAATAGAGAGGGTTCGTGTATGGAATGGAGAGGGGCACCGAGCAGGGCAGTTGATCCCCTCGTATGAGGGCAATCAATGCAGCTTCCCTGTGCTCACTACCCTATCGCAATATTATTAACATATTACCAGTTGTTGCAGGGACGCTGGACCCGTTTTCCAGCACGTGCAGCTCCCCACGAATAGATTGGAGCCATCTAATGGCGGCCTCGAACCGGAGCGGTGCTCTTATCACCTCTCAGTAGTTGGCCAGCAATCGATGTTAATTTAAAAAAAAAAAAAAAAAAAAAAAAAAAAAAAAAAAAGATATGTGTTTTGGATTTGTGGGCGTAGTGGTAGGATAAATATTTTGAATAGAGTCTGCGAAAACTTCTGCTTCAACCCGAGTGGATGCTAGGGGTGCTGGTAAGAGAGAAGGCACTACTAGCACTCCCAGAAACACTCCATCTATTGGTGGGGAGCAGCAGCTTCTGGAAAGCGGGTTCAGTGTCCGTAAACATTGTAGCTGTTTGTTTGATCAGACGTGCAATTGTGACGAGTGCCAGTTGCAGGGCTCACCTACAAAGTACGAAAGTTCGCAGATAGAACGACACAGTAGCCTGAGCTACTTGCCTACATGACAGCCTTTATGAAGCCTAAATTAAGTGATGGTATCCACAGAACTCACGACTGCTGCTAGGGGAATTGGAACCAGATTCTACCAAATTCTACTTCAAGGCTTTTTTGGAAGAATCATTTCTGCGGACGAGGGACGCTGGACCCGTTTTCCAGGACAAGCCGAAGCTGGATAATGGCCCCAGTATTTTTCCGGGTTGAATTGTGAGATCCGAAGCCTCAACTTTACGAGTTTTAATGCAATTAATGTGGTTCCAAAAAGAAACGGAAGGCCAGAATGGGCATGGGAGGCTTCTGCCTCTGCCCCTGAAAAAAAGTGGGAAAGGCAAAAGAGGTTCAAGTGAATCAAGAGGGAAGGTAGCAATCAGGGGGCTATGCTTTCCATGATGCGGAACTTCGTTCCTGGGGCATTCCTTGTTTTTTTTTCTGAGGGATTGGCCGTCTTGAGGACCCAATGCATGCTCTCGCGTTTTGTGAAGCCTTAATCATGAATCTGATACCTCTGTGTGCGTGTGAATGCGTGCGTGCGCGCGTGCGTGCGTGTGTGTGCGTGTGTGTGTGTGTGTGGTTGCGTGGTTGTGGGTGTGTAATGTGTGTGTGACGCTGCTCTGCAGCACGTTATAGCACCAAACTGCACCACCAAGTCTCCAAAGCTAAACAGCTTCAGCACGACAAGGATGCCGGAGTGGGTCTCAGGGGGCAAAAAGACGCTAGCATCACACGTCAGACCAGTCCTGAATGGTATTCCAGTAGACCCAGTGGCCAGACAAAAAAATGGCCAAAAAATGTGAACACCAAAAACAAACGACAAAGACCGTGATCAAAGAATGACAGCAGCGCACGTAGGTTGGAGGGCACAGCGAGGCAACAAGGCACATGGCATGAGGCGATAAGGCAAAGCGTGGGAGGGCAAACAAACAGCTCACTGCAATGAGGGAAGGGCATGGAGCACACAAGGCAAAGGATGACAAGTAACAACAACGACAAAGCAAGGGACAAAGGCTGGAGGGCATGGGAGTCACTGTGGCGGGTGGGCACACAGGCACGAAACAATGAGGCATACGACACCAGGCAACATAAAGAACAAGCACTGGAAGGCACGGGGGAGGAGTGAGGGAAAACTACACCCAAGCACACAAAACAGGAAAACCAGGAAAAAAAAACACGAGTGCCCTGCCGTCCCTTGCAGTGTGGTTGACTTGGTGGTGCTGAACTGCGTGGTTCCCGCGCTGTGTCCTGCGTGCCATGTCGTCCCTTGTAGTCATTTCTTGGTGTTGTGGAGCTGTGTTGCCTCTACTGTGTTGCCTGGTGCTTCGCAGGGTTGCTGCCCCATGGTATGTTCCGCTTGGGGACAGTCTGCCTTCAACATGGGTCAAAGGCTTGATGACCCAAACCATCAAAAACGGAGATTCCGCAGATTGTCGCTGGTTCAGCCTCCTGATGAGTCGGTGCAACTCAGACGAAACAATCTATCATCAGTTTTGATTTTTTCAGTCCAGCACAACGACCATGCGGTGAAGCACAACTTGAAGGCAACACCAACAAGGCAAACGAACTACAAGGTGTGCAAGCAAAGGTCATGGAAGGCACGGCCAATGGAAGGGCAGCAAGGCAGCAGAGCAGCGAAGTGCAGGGGAACACCAACAAGGCAACCAAACTACAAGCTGCGCAAGCAAAGGTCACAGAAGGCACGGCCAGCGGAAGGGCAGCAAGGCAGCACAACAGCGAAGCGCAAGGCAACACCAACAACACGGCCACACCACACAGCGAAGACAGCACGACCTGCGAAGCAAGCGGAACGGGCAGCAAGGCAGCGGCGGAGCGCAGATCAGGCAGTTCATGTTGGATGGGTGACCCATCCAGCACGGAGCAAAGCGGCACATCACCTAGTCACATCACGGGTGAACCCTGCAGACTGTTGGTTCTCATCACCCACTGAGCCAGGGAGTCACTCCGACGAGCATCCGTCATCACCCACAGGCAACACCGACATCCTGAACCAAGCGCCCCCCCTAAGAGTGTTGTAGGCACTCCAGACGAGGAATGACCGACTGTTTGGCACTATTTAAAGGTGCTCAGTTGGGCACAAAAAAAGTAAGGAAAAAAAAAGAGGAAAGACAAATGACCGGAGGACGGCAGACCTACCTAAAACTGATTCTGTGTGTGTGTGTGTGTGTGTGTGTGTGTGTGTGTGTGTGTGTGTGAGAGAGAGAGAGAGAGAGAGAGAGAGAGAGAGAGAGAGAGAGAGA